AACCGCTCTAGCTCCTTCCGTAATATTTTACCATTTATTTTGTAAATCACGATCCTTCCGATTCTCGCCTTCATTCGACGTCTTCATTCGACGTCTTCGCCCGCGTCTTCTGTTCTTTCGAGTCCGTGTGACCTTGCTTTGTAGACGTCTTGGAAATATATTTAATAACCGGTGCATGACACGCTTTAACGCCAGCCGCTCTTCCTAGTGAACTTGTGCATCTATGCAGTAAGAATATGCATACTCAATCATTACTGTGACGCCCACAGTAGTTTATATCCTTCCTGCTTAATCTATTTTTGGTGTTGCTAAAATCGGGAGTCCTCCAAAAAACGTGACCGTGAGGGTTGCACCCTCAAATGCGGTCTATAACGAATTCATCAATGAACAGTAGTCAAGTTCAGCTCAATTCGACGGAACGTTCTCCGAGGCCTCCCGTCTCGTAAGATGTACTACACGAAGTCTGATTGTGCATTTTCTCTAAACGTATAGCAAGATTTTCGAAGCTAAAGACCCAAACTGGAGTATTTGCAATGCTATAGGAACCATCCGCGCTGATAACTCGATGGTGCGGAAACGTCCTTTGAACCTTCATCAAAGAGTATCAGGCGTTACCCCTCCACCGAGATTGACTGGATCAATGCTTTCCCCGGAAGCCACTGCTGCCCTTGACATCATCGCCTGTCAATGCGACTGGCACCCGCAACAGCTGCCAGTGAGTAGCTACCCTAATATTTAATGCTCACAGCTCTGGTATGCTGCGATCGTCGAGACCTCTGAAATATCCTTGATCTCAAAATCTGATTGTTGTATCTTCTCGCCCCGATGAAGTTCGCGGAACGAACAGACCATGGGTACTTAATATGTAAATTTCTCCCCATTTCTAATTTACTTCTACATACATCGTACAATGGACGGCGTAATATAGCTTCTATTAAAGCGCTTGACAGTAGGCTGCGGCAGTATGCAAGTATTTGGAATACAAGGTACTTAATATCTTGGCAGTGGGAAGCCCTGGTCCGGTGATGAGGAAGAAAGTTAGGAACAAGCGATTCTTTGGTGGCGTTCAAAATATAGCTTAAGCGTCCGATACTATATCACACTATTTGGGCTTGGCATTCGTAGAAAGCTGATGTTTGTTATTCAACGAAGAACATTATGACATTGTAAAGTACTTGAGGGTATCAAGGAGAATTATGCGGTATTGTACATCTATGCATGAATATTACAGTTGCGGCCGGAAGTGGGATGACGATGAAAACCAAAGTAAATGAGGATAGGATACAGAGCTGGAAGAGACGACGTCAGTTTCGGAGAATATATAGTTCCGAAGGGTATGACGTACCATAATCAGAGCGACCTCTGATTCCCGATGAACGGTGCTTTTTTAATAAAAGCACCTTCTCAATGAGAGCGACCCTTTGGCTTGGGACGGTTGATGTCTTTGTATGCTTCCTAGAAAAGGCAAAAGTTAGCTCTATTCAGTGGTTACATTGTGCTGTGATGCTTACCTCCTCCTCTTTTGTGTGTGTGCGCATTGGCTTGGAGGCAATTTGAGCGACGGTGGAAGGCATGTTATAGTGTTGAGTGAAGAGGTGTTGAGTGAAGAATGCGAGTGATTGTTGTCGCTGTAATGGATGGCTCAACGGTTTGCTGAAGGAAAGGTCTGGGCATGACATCCGTATTTATACGTGGTTGTCTGTCTGCAAGGAGATCTTCGGATTTGGTCAGCGCTTTCCCAACCGTAGTGAGGCTTGATGCATTGATGGCCGTTTGGCGGCTCCGGTGCTAGTGCTTTCTCACCTGCCCCGATCTTGTTCATACTTTGTCCGCTTTCTCGTTATGCCACACCGTTAGGCATCACAGATGTCCTTCCCGGGTGCCTAGCTTAACTATTCGAGGTAATGTTCCGCTCCTTCTATGAGTTCTATCCGCATCCTTCCTGCGCGTCGCGATTTGAATCGTTCGACCAGGAATTACCTCGGACTGGGAATTACTCGTGGTAAAATAGGGAAAAAAAGTCCCAATCGGAAGCGGAATTCTATCCAGCATTACAATCGGATTCTCGTCCTACTGATATTTAATCCTTAGTCGGGTTCGCTCATCATCTGCTCAGTGAAATCAGCGCCTCTGTATAGCTATACTACCCGACTTTATCCTTGCCCAATGGCCTGATCCGGATTCTTCCTTTGCCTCCAGAGAGGTTCGCACGTGTATTTGGGAACGCACTATTATTGGAAGCTGCTTACACCATATGATCCGTTTCCTACAACAGAACATTCAATTCACGAAGGCCAGCAACGAGGCGTTAGGCGTCGGTCAAGCGCACTGTTACACGTTCTGTCAAAGGTGTCGTCGCGGTTCTCGTTGGTTGGATCCGTTTTTCCACTGGATCCCACTAATACCATCTAGAGAAATAATGATACGGACATTCTGCCAGCAGAAACATATCGGACAACCCTCTAGATAACGGTACTCTCTCCTCAGTCTGGCCAAATGGAGCAGAAGAGTTATTCTGGAGAATACCGGAGCGCGACATTCAGGGTCATACTATCTAGTATAGTCACGCAAGCTGTCGCTGAGCCGGTTGAGGCCGAGGGGTTGGGGACTTGAGGATGACTCTCAAGCCAAAGGTGTCATCAACGAACGCGGGATTCTCTCAAGATGATTGGCCGTTACTTCTTGAGTCTGTAACCCTCAACGTCTCAACGCTAGCCTACAACTCACGAGCCACAGGTTTGTGCCTCTTTGTACTGATCAACTCGATCTGGATGATGGCATATATGACTACTCATCGCTGTGTTTCTCCGCCTGGAGCATCCCTCCGGACCTCAGTGGCTGTGAGAACAGTGCGTTGTAAACGTGTAATAGAACAACAGATGGTATATGGTATACCATCAGAAGTGTCTTTAAACAGGAAATCTGGGTGAACGATCGTAATCCTATAGATCCTCATAATACTTGTTCCGCAAATAAAGGAGCATGCCTCCGTCCCTGTAACTGGATTCACAACCACCACAGATGTTATTCTTTCTGATGATATTACAGCATGTTGCAAAGGCACGTTATTTCCGGAAAACATTACGTACCGATTCTGTATTCCGCAGGCGGAATTGCAAAGACGTCTGGTTGGGAATCTGTCAACGCGTACTAAAAAAACCATTGGTTCATCAATGGAAAGATACGCAACTGCCTTTCCTGTAGCTTTAAAGGGGCTCTGCTGCGAGGAACAAATTGACAGTCGGGACGATTTATGATTGGCAGTTCATCTTTCACAGGCGATAATGATTTATAATGAGATTTCCCTTTGAGCATTCAGGCACTTTTGCCAAATCGGTAAGTACATAGCTTGTATTTTGATCGCCCACCAAAATTCGGCTAATAACCAATCTTCATCTAGGTGATTTGGACACCATCCCATCCTGCAACACGGAGGTCCGGGGCCATCGTCTGGCTGTTCCAAGGGTTGGATCAATTGACGACTTTTTGTCCGCTATTTTTCTATCCCCATTATATTTTATTCCCCGTTAGGGAGTCCAGTTCTGAATATATGCCTTAGGTCACTTTGGAATGCGGCAAAGGAGTCGAAGACGAGATACACCACATTCTTCGCCGAGAGACTGATCGACTTGCTGAGTAGGTCGACTACTACTTACTATCAAGGCCGTGCAGCATGACTATCCAATAATTCACCTCATCAAGGAACTTCACTTCAAGAGCACTATTTCTATAGATAAAGATGTGCTTCATAAGTGTCTCTGTTTTTCAGGTAGTATGGGGAAGTCAAACCACACTGAATAACTCCGGGAATTTCGTCATGATGTTGGACGCTATCCGGGGAAAGTATAATCAGAGCATCTCTTGAAACGCCTTCGGAGAAGTAGTCCTGCATATTATAAGGATAAGACTGACTCTCAGTATATGTTGAGAGGATTTGTAACGTAAGCCTGCGCTTAACGCATCCTATGTATAAGGTATACAAGAGACGCTTCGACGGGCTGCTATCATGTAGGTGGCATACACCGGCGGTTAAGTTATTACTTAAGTATGGTTTGCCGCCCAAAATTGCCGCCAGTCCTTGTATCGTAAACAGCCTAACTCCTCCTAACTTCCCCGGCGTTGATTACCTGTCTTTAAGTAGTACCCCTTCTCAGCCCTTCTCCAATCAATGTGCGTCATGATTGAGCTTCTCGGGATCTACACCGAAACATCAAAGCTTTCCCTGAACCCTGCAGGTCTTGACGAACCGCTCTTGGCTTTGATAGCCACTCCCCCTGATGTGGTCTCGAGGATTATCGGTATCTCCCTGGAATTTTATTTCTATCCGAATCATGTTTCGATGCTACTGTTTTCTTACGAGGGAGCCCTTCCGAAACATCAAAGCTTTACCTGAACCCTGAAGGTCTTAACACCGGTTTTAGCTTTGATAGCCATTCTCCCTGCGCTGTGATATTATTGGTATCTTCACGGAATTTTATTTCTACCGTATCTCAATAATACAATTTTTTCTTACGAGAGTGTCCGTACTTACCGCTGAGGCTTTGTCCTCGATCGGCTGATCCTCCCAAAGAATGTTCTGGAATTCACGGCTCTGCCTGTCACTTATTTCGCTTGCAATGTTCATAGGAATGACCTGCACCTCGACTGCTCATCTCAGCTGCTCATAAATAATAATTTGTATCGCATTGCTATCTTACCCATCGTCGTGCTTCGGTTTGTTTATCCCGTTTATTGATTCATTCCTTAAATATGGCATAGGCTTATTAGGTAACTTATTTTTTTAATGGGAGTTATTCCGAGTTGCTTGACCGACTTCGGGATTGTTAAGTTGCTTGCTGTCAGTCTGGGAGTAATTCACAAAGAGATGGAAACATGATCCCCGAGACTGTTTGGCGTCTTACTAAACCCTTACGTTCTATAGATAACCCTGAAGAAGGATAATGAAAAGCTAAAAATAGAATCGAAAGTAAAGAGCGAAGTCTAGGCATTCAGGGCAAAATTGGTTCACGCCGGGCTCGAACCGACGACCTCTCGCGTGTGAAGCGAATGCGCTACCAACTGCGCCAGCGAACCATATGGCTAGTCTCTTTCGAAGAACAGCATGGGAATATTACACAAATAAGCAGGCGCCCTTGTACGGAGAATTTAGGAGATTCATCGAAGCCTCGTTTGCCTTACCAGTAGATTTACTCATATTTTATTCCCTCTTCGACTGTTCTATGTGTATCACAAAGACTGATCCTCAAACCTGACTAAGCATCCCTGATCTAAGTTTGTTCTTGTTCAACGTGTTAGTCTCCAACTCCAGCAGGTAGATTATGGAAGCAATGGTATATTTCTTTTCCTGGTCGATGTCAGTATTAATGCTACCTCCTCGCGTCATATCGAATTTTAAAATCAGTCGTTCTTCTGGCACGCCTTCGGTTATCATGCAATTCACAGTATGTTGTCCTCCTCGCTCCGACCAATTAACCGTAGACAGTACTTTATAATCTCTCCTTGCTAATTTTTTTTTGCGGATTGCCATTCTTCTTGAGGAGGTAACTACGCTCAAGTGATAAGACCCTAAGATTAGGCAGCATGTTTGACGCGAATCCCTCTCTGCGACTTTACTGCAAGAGCACGACGCCGAAGGTACACTGGAAAATATGTTCATCATTGATACAATTTTTTTTCTCCAAAGATATTGTGGGGATAATAGAACCTATTTATTATAAATTGCTTTGGCCAATTCCAAAATCCATGGACTGACAAACCCGCGGGTGTATAGATCTTTCTGCGACAGGTATTTGGCCCCTTTTATGGTCCCTATACAGTTCTACATAATAACAACAACATTTAGATGATTCGAGATTTGAAAGTAAAAAATCCACAAACGCGAGCTCCACATTGACACCTGAATGCCTGATCCATATCCCATTCGGTGGAAGGGTAGAAAAATGTCACTGAAAAATCGTTGACGCGTCAATCCTGATTAAGGTGGCGGTTTGATACGTGGACATACAATATTCATTCTTTTCTGTCCGTTTTAAAGCTTTCAAATGCCATTTAGATGAGTCAGACGACGAGAGATCAAACGCGACATTAGGGTCGCAGGAGTGGTTGACTATGCCATGAATCGTGTAAATGTTTAGGAAAAAATTAAAGAAAAAAGACGCACTATAAACAAGATCCGAATTTAATTCTATATGGTCATTGGGACCACTTCCGCACTGGACAGAAGTATAGGCCTTTGGACCCTTGGAAATGCGATTCCCACCGAGGGGAACTATAGTCTCTCCAGCATTCCACGACTATTCCGTACATGTTAGTATGGTGAGAAGGTAAATGGCATCACAACGTACTTTGAGAGATCTCAGACCAGAACTAAACTCGCCAGGTTTGAAATCTACAGTCAATACACCGGGAAAGGTTGGAACATATGATTCTTGTGAAGGTTTCATAACGTGGGCGGGAGTAAGGAATAATCTGCTTGGGTATTCTTATTTATGTATTAAATTGCCACGTAAGCTGACTCACTTCATAGGCAACCGATCTATTGCCACCCGCCGTTTTCCCGAATTCCAAGTACGCGGGCGCGTCAGTGGCGGCACTTTATCACATGTAAGATATTTGGCACTGCCTTCGTTATAACGATCGAACCTAGTCTGCTCGCGGAGTTCTTGGTATGAGACTACGATCGAACCCCCGGGTGCCAATTTTTTGCTTGCTGACCTCGCATAGCCTAATTCAAATAGGCGGCCGCCACATGATAATTGTGTGTTGATCCAGAGGAACAAACATCATGGATAGGTTTAGATGGTGCTTGATTTGCAGGGATGTTGCCTATAGAAAGCGGTCCACCAAGGTACTTACACCCCAAAGATTTGGGGTAATGTTTTTATCAGGACAAGAAGATGCTATAATGAGCTATACATCTGAGCAATGGAATGTCCCTGAACACAGGAATGCAGACGTCTTTGGCGGAGATTGATATGGTAGGTAGGAGACTAGGAATGCACCAGGAGAGTTATCAGCTGACAATATATAACTTTTAATGGCGATGAATATACCTCGAGCAACTTTCTACTGCTTGCTTTTCAAATCACTAGCTCAAACCTTTGCGTGTTATACAACTACTCGTCAAAACCATTGGTAAGTTACATAATATACCTTGGTCGCCTTGCACTCGCTTGGTTTGGATGATAGCAATCGTCTCTAGTTTCCCGTGTTTGATATTATTTCGAATAACAACCAATCATAAAGATATCCAAGTACAACATCCTAAATACATAAATACGCGTCAGCTTGGCGTGCTAAGTTCATCAAAGGTGAGAGCCATACCTAAGTAAATAGTACTATGATAAAAACATAGATGCAGTCATATTCCTTGTATACGCATCCAGATAACCTCTAGGTCCCGAGTTGGGATACTGGCGTGGATGCACGTCGTCGTTCAAGGCAGGGACATGGTCGGCATCCCGGCATCTCAACTAATCCTCAAAGTCCGCATGCGCCACCGTCAAAACTTAAAATAACTATCCTCCCCTCCTTCAAATTATTTTGCTCTTTATATTACAAGATCCTCCATTATAATATTTACCCACCCATACGTATTACACCCGGATTCAGTCTCATCTTATTTGTTATTAGCCGTCAATTTGTTTTTTCTTTCTTTCTTTTTAAATGGTCGAAAGCCGTAAAGTCAAACCTATAAGTATGTACCTTTACAGAAATTATTAAGTTATTAAATAAATGTCACAAACGTCCTCACCGTGTTACTGCCGTGTGCATTCTTAGTAAATACCATCTATGGATCCATATTTACTATTTTCTCCATTGATTAATGAATTTACAGTTGCTTGAATCTGCTGAAAGAATATCTTCAGGACATTTGCTCTTCAAGATGCATTCAAAGTGTTCAACCGCCGGGGCCGTGCAGTGATGGTGGTGTATTGGCCGGACTAGGTCCCAAAAATGGAAATGCCGAGGGCTGTATGTACACTCAATGACTAAGATATAATCACATATGGTGCACTACAGTCATGATACGGTCAACAAGGTCAGGATGATGTCAAGCATGGTTAGTGAGCATCATCAACACGGTCCCTCACAAGCTGCCTGCACATGGGCATCCGATCCTACTCCTACACACCCCCTTTCCAATTGCACCTCAGCCATCCCACCGGGAAACACATCGGTACAGAGTCATGGATTTGCAATCACAAACATGTGATGTACATACTGTCTCAGGAATGGCAACTTCAGCTCTGCAACCAGAGAGAGATGGTCGGAGCCAAGGGTGGGACATAGGGGGACACAAAGAGAATTGGTTCATAAGGCACATGGCCAGTTTAAGACAGCCGGCAATATGATTCTGCCAATATGGGTCAAAAGGGAGCAGGCACAGTAGTAGAGCCACATTAGGTGGTGGTGATGCAACATTGTCAATGACATGGGCAGATGACAAGAAAGGACATCTATTAGTCAGTGTGACAGAAGATGGAGAAGATTGTGCAGGCCAGTGTGGCACAGTACATTTTTATGTTTTTAGGTAGTACAAGGCTCTCAAGGTGGCAAGACATGCAGTACAGGATGATGTGGTCAACTGCAGCAGGGGGTATAATGGGTGTATTGATCAGCCATGATGATAGAATAAAGAAAGAGGAAATACCTGCAATTGCTAGGAGGAAAGTGTCACTTTCAAATGCAGACAAAAGTGGGTGGAATAGGGATGGTCATGGTTGTGGTCTAACTATCTGTCTACTTGGGATCAAACAATTTCTTCTGCTTCCACCACGTTCCTTCAAGTTCCACCTTATTGCAGCAGCTCCATCCTGTAACCATCCAGGTCTTTTCTCCTGCCACAGAAACAGGTAGATATATGGTCAGTAATCAACTTTCACTTCATATCTAAGCTGAACTGTGGCCATGATCTGATCATCATCATCCAGACTTATATAAGGAAGCATTCAGAGATGGTACTGGCAGAAAACCAATCACCAATTATATGTGTTCCTGTCAAAATTCTTCACAAAAAAAAAACTTCTCTCTATCCCCTTGTTACCTGCAATTTGAATGGCCATATGTTCAATATCCATCACACTATTCATTACTGGATAACATACCCGCTCTTTTGGTGATAGGCTTGGTCCATGACACATGGTGAACAGTACTCCAAGGAATGAGCATTGGAGTCTGGTCGAATATAATTGTCACTGCAACCCATTTTGAGAACAGCAATTGCCTCCAGACACTGTTGAAGAGGTCCAACGGCTATGCTCTGGATATTCAATTCTTGTAGTGGGATCAAGCTCATTTTAAACTATGCATGGGAACATCACTATTGCCCCTTATTCGTTCTCATGCATCAAGGATACATGTTCTACTGCTTCAAACCTACCAAGAGCACGTAGGTGCTAGTACGATGCAAGTGGACATATTCTTTTCTGGTACCGGACAAATTTCCATGCCTTTATTTGAGGTTTTACAGGTCATTACCCATCAACAAATCATACCTCCAGCACATCCCGAATCTCAAATCCCAAGGCTTTCATGTCTTATCATAGACTGCTGGGACCAATGCTTGTATCATTTGGTGCTTTCTAGAAAAATCTTGAACTTGGATACATTGTCTGTTTTGAAACAAATCAGTATTTCAAGATTATCACTCAAGGAAGATTGCCTTATATCCATGACACAAGCACACAACATCATCATTTTATTTTGTGGTTCCCAATGGAATGCTCTGAATCAGTTGACTGTTACGGGCTGATCCTAACAAAGGGTTCCGAAGCGTGACCGAAGTAACGAATGAAGTCACACTAAAGAACGAAGGGTTGGAACTGAAGGACTTGGCTTCAACGTTGTGGGTTGCGCCTTCTCGAAATGTACATGTCTTTAATTTGGAACAGATTAGAACCAACAATATAAGAGCGGATTTGAATACCGAAGTTCTGAACGAAGTGTTCGAACGAAGTCTGAATGAAGTCCTGAACGAAGGTAGGACTTCGGAGTAAGATCAAAGGTTCGAGGTGAAGTTCGGAGTTGATCTCTGAAGGTGGTATTCGGTTCGGAGGTAATAGAGGTCTGAA